GAACCGTGTGGTCAGCCATGCAGGAGTCCAGCACCCTTAACCACCACACCATCTGCTGGCCCTGTGGAATAACTTTTTAAAAACTTTCAAAAAATTTACATTCCGTTATTAAGAAGAAAGGGAAGAGTGGATGTAGAAGTAAGCAACTAGCAATTTCTTGACATACCTACCCGCATGGTTATTAGGAGGATCAGTATAATATATAAAGCACAAACACGCTCCAAATATTTGATCACAACCCAAGTTTCTGCCAGTTGATCTGCTTGACTTCATTAAAGTTGACTATCATATATTCCTTTCATTAAATTGGTACTAAGATCCTCATGACCTAATCATCTCCATACCTTAGGTAATTATTTTTTTTAAAAGAAATATTTGTTTAATTTTATGTATTTATTTATTTACTTTAATTTGACCAGAGAGAGAGAGAGAGAGAGAGAGAGAGAGAGAGAAAGTGAGAGAAAGTGAGAAAGCAAGCCACCAGGTCTGGGACTCAAGCCATGGTCAGCCATGTGGGAGTGTCCAGTGCCTTAACCACCACACCACACACTGGTCCCCAGGTAATTAGGTTTTAACATATGAATTTGGGGAACTGGGGGAATAGACCATAGCAGTAGTGAAAGAGAAACAAAATTTGAAATACTTAGTGTCATAAAGTGGCATGTGGAAAATTATCAGACCTGTGAAATTGTTAAGTAAAGGATTTGGTTCTTATTGATGCTTAGCCAAATGGTTCTCCTATTAAAATACATTGATTGTAAAATTATAAAAGTTCCAATTTTTAAAAGTTTATTTAATCATTTCCAGAAAGAGAGAAAGAGAGACAGAGGCAGAGAGAGAGAGAGACCTGTGACAGGGTCTTCATACCGTAATCCTCCCTGCAGTTTTGTAGTCAGCCAGGATTGAGGATGTCCCTGATGTGTTGAGAGGGAAAGTGAGAAATCACCCCCTGAGGGGTATGGCCATGCCACAATCCCTTCTCCTCTTGGGATTTTGGGCATGCATGCACATGTGTCCAGCATAATTTTCTGGGACTCAAACTGTGAAGTTGGCCATGTGAGATCCAGCATCTTAACTTCCATGCCACATGCTGGCCCTGCCTCCTGACGTGTTGAGGTAAACCCAGGACATGAACCTGGAGCCCTTCCACATGGGCCCCAGCATTGAGTGGCAGCATGCCCATTGCCTACACCACCACACTGCACTCCCAACAATTTTTCAAAGGGAAATGTATGCCTAAGTCTCTACTGGTACTTTAAACAAGTGTGTCTAAGTGTGAATTACTTCCTTACGTATCACAACATATGGATCACATCTTAACATGGTATTAGGGGACTTATGAAGCTGAAGGAAAAATTCCTAGGGCCAGCTGGTGGTGTGGTGGTTAAGGTGTCTGAATCCCACATGGCCAGTTGTACATTTTGAGTTCCAGACCTGGGGGTTTGAGAAACGTGCCAGGCATGTATGCATGTGTACCCAAAATCCCCAAGAGGAGAATGGAGGAGAAGGGATTGTGGTGGGGTCATCTCCTCTGGCGGTGATTTCTCACTTTCCCTCCTCTCTGCCCTCTCCAGTGAGCCCATGCACCCTATAGCGAATTGAGAAAAAAATTCTAAACAATCAGAAATGAAGAAACAAATATTGGTAGCTATGCTAGAGGACAGACCAAACTACTGTTATATCCTTTAGAGAAATGACCACAACATTTTTGTTCCGTGAGGGAGGGATCAAGGAGCATGCACTCAAACGTAGGAAACAATGTTACAAAGGTGTAGCAGACATGAATAAGAACACAAGTGTTATACCTACTTGGAACAAAATGAGATGTGTACAGTGCATGCATTGCACACGTTGCACCATACACAAGAACCTAAAGCCCTTGTGTCTTTTTGTAACATTGACATTTTGGAGGAATCCATGCCTGGATGTTTTGTACATTTTCTACATTTTGAATATGTCTGATTATTTCTTCATGGGTAGATTTTAGTTAGACATTTTTTTACCTGTCAGAGGGCCTGCACACTTGCCAGAGATATACAGAGACAGAGAGACAGAGACAGAGAGGGACAAAGTACCCCCAAATTGGGGCATGGCCACACTATAGCCCTTCTCCATTTCTCATTCTGTTGGGATTTGGGGCAAGCACCCACATCTCGTGTGTGTTTTTCAAGCTGCCAAGACTGGGATTCAAAGCACCATCAGCCATGTGGGATTCCCTTCCCTTTAGCCACTAGACTAGGGGCTAGCTCTTGCTAGACTTTTTTTTTTTTTTGGCAAGATGTCCACAGGCACAAGTGAGAAGACCATAGAACACAGGCGACATTGTTCGTTTTTTCAAATGTATCACACCAGGAAGCTCGAGAGGTCTGACTGCGACTTATTAGTGATTCTGCTTTTGGTCAGTTGGTTAAGGTGGTGCATTTACTTTTTTAAGTGGTGTTTTACAGACGACTATAAAGAAAAAACACCACATTCCTACTGTGTGCACACTCTGAGAAGCAAGAAGGACACAGGCACAGGCAAGACCACAGGCGATGTTCCTTTTTTCAAGCACATCACACACTGAAAAACAGAGTATTAGGCAAAACTTAAGAGTGCTCAGCAGGAGGCAGTAGCTTTCCCAGGCTCTGGGGAAAACAGTCCAACAACTTCCCCTCCTTCTGCCCGTCCGCACCTCTTTTCCCGGACAATCAACTCTCAGACCCAGAGAGCCTCTACTCCCACGCGCCCAGATCTTTTCCCATCAGCAAGTCTGCGCCTGCGCAGAGTGTCTAGGAAGCTCCTTTCCAGCGCCCGACCGCTTCTTTGTCGGTTTTCCTCCAGCCTCCCATCAGCTCTAGTTTTTCCCTAAGGGGTCATTACAGGGCGCCAAACACGAGCCCGCGAGAAGGCCGGGGCGGAGCGCCGCGCGGCACAGCACGTCAGTGGCCTTCCGGGCGGAAGTCCGCAGTCTCCGAAGTCGCTGATTGGCTTTCGGGCTGGCGCCTGTATCGGCCCCCGCCCCACTTTCGGGCTGGTTGGCGCGGAATCGGGAGACTTTGGGACCATGGCGCCTGTGCACGGCGATGACTGCGAGCTGCAGGGCAGCGGTGAGGGATGCGTGTGCGCGCGGGGTGTCTGGTTGGGAGTGCGGGGACCGCGGCGTGATCACAGGTGGTGGGGATTCTGGGAGCCTCTTCTATTTTTAGCAAGGAGGCGCGCGTGCTGGGGTCGCCCCGCTTGTCTATTTAGGTTCAGACCATGGTCGTCCTAGGAGGGGGCTCTTCTGGCGTCGGACGGAGCTTCCTCGTAGGGCAGTTTGCTCTTGGCAAACGGGAACAACTCCTGCAAGGGATTTTTTTTTTTGAGACAAGCCTCTCTTCTGACACTGAGGGTCTCCACACTTTTTATTTCTTTTAGTGAGTGGAACCCACGTGCGGGGCACTACTTCATTGAGACTGACCCTGTTGGGAACTGTCGTGGCCAAAATTATTTCACTGTTTCTAGTCTAAGAATCCAATCAAGGGCTGGGACAGACCAGATGTGCGCCCACGTCTCTAGGCACTTCGAGGAAAATCGTTATACATTGTAACTAAGCGGGAAATAAAGCTCGAAGTGCTGTCACCAGATACAGATGCGTTTTATCGTTTTAGGTAGTGGATTTCTGCTTTATATGTTAACAGTTTTCTTTCAAATTCTATGGAAAGTTCTTCAAGTGCTGCATAGAAATAGTTCTCACAATCTAGTCATTTCTGAAGTTTCTTAAAAAAGAAAATGCATCAGTTCAGTATTTCAGATGCCCTGAACATCACTCAGTCAGCGGTAATCTTTTATTTCCAAGAATTTATTTCCAATTGGCTTTGTCTGATTTCTGATTTTTTTTTAACAGTGTTCCACTAAAGTGTAACTTAACTTCAGTGAACTTCTAACTTAAAATCAGATGCTTTACTTCCTTAACTCAAGCTCAGACCTCCTGTCACTCAGAAACATCACAAATAATGAGAACTTGCTTCCTAATCAGCCTGCTTTGCATTCACCTGGTTGTGAATCACAGATTTCAGTTTGTTCTTCCAGCCTTGTTTCTTGAGACAATTTATTTTGGAGAGTCTACTAGCCTGGATTACAAATGGGGCATAGGATGTGAGTACATGAACGGTCTTTGCAGCCCTATCAGTGATTTGCTACTAAGCTCTTTCTTCACCCTAAAAACTGTATGTCATCTGTGAACATCAAGAAATCACTCTCTGGAGGATACTGTGCAATCTTGAGACCCCTTCTGAAGTTACGGTGTTGATTAAGTAGTTGATAGGGATTTGTGACTAGAATTTTTCCCTTAGAGCAGATTGCAAAATTGTTACCTGAAAGACTGCTGAAGGCTAGGCTCTCCGCTTTGGGGGAGACTGGAGGGACTTGAGATGATAAATTTGAACCAAATATTTAAACCTTTGTAAATGGATTTTTTTGGTGCTCTTTATTTATTTATTTATTTATTTATTTATTTATCTAACTTAACCTATGCAAAACATTACACTCATATACCAAAAGAGAGAACCTAGGCTTTTTCCCTCCCAAGTATTAGGAGGAGGGGGGATCTTGACATTGGCAGTGAAAAGTTAAAAGTCTATAACTAGCTATGACATATGAAAAGAGATTAGGGAGAATTTGGTGATCAAAAAAGTAGGTAGATGGTTCATTCAGCAAATATTTATTATGTACCTACTAGGTGTAGACATTCTGCCGGACTCTGGCATTCCAATGGTGGGTAGGCTGGACATGTTTTCTTTCCATCTTCATGGAGTTGAGATTGTAAACATCTAATTATGTGCAGTGCTATATTGAGGCTTCCTTGAGAAAACGGCTTTGCTTATTTTTGCTTTCTGAAGCCAGACAGGATACTACTAGGTGTGGCAGGTGTGGAGTGTGTTTCTGTGTATGTTCGTTTGACTACCTTGCACTAGACAAACACATACACAAACACAAACACTCTAGCCTTTCCTACATTGCTAGGTCGAAAGTTAAGATAGGTGTTTTCATTTGCTCCTTAACAGCTTTTTAAAGCTGCCATGATCATCAGCACTTCACAGGTGAGGACCCTGAGGCACTGCATTACAGTCCTTAGTTGTAAGCTACCAGAACCAACTCTAGCTGATTTAAACAGAAAAGGAATTTATTAGATTATTGTGTTGTGGAGGGACCAGCGGTTAGTGTAATGGCTAGCTATGTTGCTGGACTCCCATGTAGTCGATTGGGGTTTGAGTCCTGGACCTGGGTGGCTAATACTCACACTGGACATGTGTGCATGCCTACCCAAGATCCCAGGAGGAGAAGGGATTGAGGTGTGGTCATCCCTCCCACCCCGGAGTGGGGGGGGTTCTCGCTTTCTGTCTCTCTGTCTTTCTGGCCAAGCGCATGTGCCCTATAGCAAAAACCTCTTAAAAAAACAAAGAAAAGAATATTGTGTTGTTCACAGAAACTCTAGGAGGGTTGGGACGCTGGTCTTGGGGCAGTTTATCCAGGAAAAATGATTAACATTGTGCCACAAAACTGGGCCAGTGAGCATTGCCAATCATGACCAAATACTTGATGCTGTAGTGTTCACTTTAGGACATTGCTGGCACTGTCCTCTCAAACTCTCAATCCTCTTGTTACTACTTTTAGAATCTTTCTTAGGCCCGCTCCCCCCTTCCTTGTGACACTAACTTCTGATTTAAGTTCTGACTGGGTGCTCCTAACCAGAAGAACCTATTTTATGTGCCCAAGCCCTAGCTACAAGGGTTTCTGGGAAAGACTTTCTGCCTGTTCAGTTTCTCTGATGGGACATAAGCTCTGCTTCTCATCAAGACTTGTGGAGGGATCAGCAGTTAGCATAATGGCTATGTCGCTGGACTCCCATGTAGTTGACCACGGTTTGCGTCCCGGACCCGGTGGCTTAAAACTCACGCCAGGCGCGTGTGTGTGCATGCCCAAGATCCCGAGAGGAGAATGGAGGAGAAGGGATTGCAGCGTGGCCATCCCCTGTGGGGGGTGATTTCTCACTTTCTATCTCTCTGTCTCTTTCTGTCTGTCTGGCGAGCTCATGAGCCCTATAGCAAAAAAGAAAAAAAAAAACCTCTCAAAAACAAACAAACAAAAAAATACGACTTGTGAAGAAGAAACTTTTTTTTGGAGATGTTTTTGCTATAGGATGCATGTGCACGCCACACGCGCCCGGCATGAGTTTTAAGCCACCGGGTCCGGGTTGTCGGGTCCGGGTTGTGAACCGCGGTCGACTACGTGGGAGTCCAACGACATAGCCATTATGCTAACTGCTGGTTCCCAAGAAGACACTTCTTAAACAGTCTCAGGATCTGGGAGCTTAAAACAACCAGGCAGCTGTCCCACTGTAACAAGTGGCACCCAGGAAAGGCAGAGGTGCCCTGTGCTGCTTCTCCCTAATCTCCGGTT